GGAACATTCCCCGATTAGGTGCATCAGCATATAAAGTTAACGATGTGATGCATCTGTTTAAAAAGTGTGTATCGGCTACAAGTCAGCATTTGTATCGCGATGCATCGTTTCTAACAGTAAACAACAAATTAAGTTCACACGATCTCACTAATTTGTGCACGCTTATTCTTAAGCAGCCCGTAATGTAGATCATGGATCAAATCGAACCACCATGGCAAACAGCGAATATATTCGTGCTGTTTAATGCATTTGAGACGTTGTGTTTTCCTCAGTGCATAACTGACATGTCACAGGTATATTTTTCATCTGTAAATGTTAGAAAGTCATGCAAACATATCCATTTTGCTGTCAGGAGTGGGCGAGGCTTACGCGAGTGAACGAGGCTGAGCGCTGCTGCGCGCAAAACAGACGGCGCGCAATCGAATAGGAGCGCAATAATTCTGAGTAAAATATACATTTAGCTAAAATATTGGTTGTTGGACATTAAATGTGCCTTTTGTAGAATTTAAACCTTCATATAAGTGTATTTTTATGATAGCAGTAGGTAACTGTAAAGGGACTATTGTAATGGGTAAATCAAATGTAAGCTAGTTCAGTACTAATTACTAAGCTCAAATGAGTTAATGTGTGTTTCTTATAGCAGTTAAAATATAGTCATAGGAAAATCAAATGTAAGCTAGACACACAGTACTAATTACTAAGCTCAAATGAGTTAATGTGTGTTTCTTATAGCAATTTAGAAGTAATTTTCTTTATTATTTATTTTAATTTTAATTCAGTGATTTTAACTTTTAATTTAGTTATTTTAATGCTTTAAAGAGCAATTTTAAATTGTAATGTTCAAATGTTCTGCTAATCTGTTCTGCAAAGGTACAGTTGTCATAAAACCAGAGAGAGCCTTTCTGCTTGGCTAGAAACTGTAAAAAAAAAAAAAGTCAAATAATAGTGTTCCTATCAGTGTTAGAGGAACTCAGCTTAGTCTGACAGTTAACCTGCTTTAGACCAGGTTAGTTTCCCAGCATACGTTGCCACAGTGACTGAAGTTGATCTATGTTAAATTTGCTTTATGGAACCAAATCATTTGACAATGAGTCAGACTAACTGAAATAAGCCTGGCTTATTTGGTAAACTTGTTTTATGAAACAGGCCTCGAGGCATTAAAAGTGATCATATGTTCTCCATTGCATGGTATTGCATCTAATTGCATTGTTTTGAATCGAATCGAATCGAAATCGGATCGCACTGCATCGTAATAGGGGTGAATCATATCGCATCGCATCGGTAGCTGCTTCATATGTATCTTTAATGTATCGTATCGTTGGCTATGCATCTCGATGCGTATCGTATCGGCCTCAGTCATGAGATGCACATCCCTA